CGTCTCTGAGGACAGTTTTGGATCCTTGGGTGACGCCTGGAGGCCTCTCTCCCCCACTCAGGTTTTGAGTCCATCATTCCTGCCTTTCCTTGAACAGGAAGGATATTAACTTCTTTGCGGTACTCGTCAGCCTCTAAGTCCATATGCTCCCTTTTAACAAACAAAAATCTCATGCTGAAATTTCAGAACTATTCATGCCAAAGAAAAAATTTAATTAAAATATTTGTTTTTTCAAACTACAGATGCCCTCCTTCCAGGCTTCCAACCCCCCCCCCCCCATGCATCCCCTTGGGAGGTCCTTGTATGTTCCAGGGGCTCGAGGCCAGCCAGGGAGCTCTGTTCTTGCCACAGTGCTTGGCTGCAGTCAGAAGACTTAACAGAATACCCCTAACTGCGTTGAACTCTGTTCTTGTAGCTTCATTCCTTACAATGACCTTCATATCTGACCTTCTCATGGGCTGGAGCATTCGCTCGTATAATGGGGGGGCTCATCTTATTTCTAATAATTTCATGGAATTGCTTTAGGAGCTCAGAAGCGTGCTACCTCCTGTTGATATTTCATGCATCCTTATTTTTCAAAGACGTGTTCCTAGTCGCAGAATGTAAATTCTGCCGAGGCAGGATTTTGGTCTAGTTAGTTCACCCCTGCATCTCCGGTTTCTAGAACTGTATCTGGCGCTCAAAGACATTTGTGGCATGAAGAACAATACACAAACTCATTCAAAGGCAAAGCAGCTATTTAAGCCGCCCCAAAGTTGGGCATTGTGTTTTATAAAGCACAAAACCTGTTTAGTAGTTCCTGTCAATGTACTTAGTGGGGAGACCTGATTCCTTTGGATTTATAAATTATTCAGTGGATGTACGTTTGCTGATGTTTTCGGGTTTTGTTTTTTGTTTTTTTTGTGTGGTATGCGGGCCTCTCACTGTTGTGGCCTCTCCCGTTGCGGAGCACAGGCTCCGGACGCACAGGCTCAGCGGCCATGGCTCACGGGCCCAGCTGCTCTGCAGCATGTGGGATCTTCCCGGACCGGGGCACGAACCCGTGTCCCCTGCATCGGCAGGCGGACTCTCAACCACTGCACCACCAGGGAAGCCCTCGGGTTATTATATGTATGTATTTCCCGTCAGTGTGTGGGTGTCCCCTGTTACACAGAGCCACGTGGTGTCATGGTCACACCTGTGCAGTGTCTGTGCCCTTGGAAGCCCGGCAAGGGTGGTGTTGGAATGCTGCTTGCTGTACTTACGAAAGGAGTGAAATCAAATGCTTTAGGTATGAGGTGGTTGTAGCATTCTCACTACCCTGTTTTTAACAAGTGAAATTTCAAATCGGTTGAAACATTCTTGGATTAAAGAAAAGCAGTACTAATGAGTCTTATTGCTGTGCATCCCAATCCCATTCATCCTGGTGGGTTCAGCCTGGCTTAATGTACAGCAGGCCTTTCTTTAGCACTTAAGTTGGGCATTAACTGCTTTGATACCATGACAGGGAAGTGTGAGCAGAGTGAGGCTCCCTCTCAGGCTGCCTCGTCCTGCCTAAGGAAGCAGGAGGGCAGCTCTGCTGACGGGGCCTGTGTCAGCCAGGCTGAGTCCACGCCGTAGGGCATCCCTAAAGCAGCAGTCCTCAAGCTGTTTGATCTCAGGACCCTTTTCACTCTCAAAGATTATTGAGGGGCTTCCCTGGTGGCGCAGTGGTTGAGAATCCGCCTGCCAGTGCAGGGGACAAGGGTTCGAGCCCTGGTCCGGCAAGATGCCACATGCCGCGGGACAACGAAGCCTGCGCTCTAGAGCCCGTGAGCCACAACTACTGAGCCCACGTGCAACAACTACTGAAGCCCGGGCGCCTAGAGCCCCTGCTCCGCAGGAAGAGAAGCCACCGCAGTGAGAAGCCTGTGCACCACAACAAAGAGTAGCCCCCGCGTGCCGCAACGAGAGAAAGCCCGCGCGCAGCAACGGAGACCCAACGCAGCCAAAAATAAAATAAATAAATAAGTATAAATAAGTAAGTAAATAAACAAAATTAAAAAAAAATAATTGTTGAGTACTCCACAGAACTTTCGCTTATGGGGGTTGTATGTATCACATTACAAATTAAAATTCAGAACAACTTAAAATATTTATGTATTAGTCCTGCAAAAAGTAACAATAACAATAAACGATTTTACATTAACAAGTAACGTTTGTTATGGAAAACATTTTTATGGAAAACAGCTAGTTTCCAAAACAAAGTTTAATAAGAGTGGTGGTGTTTTCCTTATTTACAAATCTCTTTAATGTTTAGCTTGATAGGAGGCCACTTGGTTCTTATGTCTGATTATACATCATTCAGTTTTGATGTATTGTTTTAGTTGAAATACATAAAGAAAATGTGGCCACAGATCTGTACTTGGAAGAGGAAGAGTACTTTAGTAGCCTTTTCAGATGATTGTGGGTATTTTTTGGTACCGCACAAAAACTCGACAGGTGGTAGCTTGTACCCCGTGGAGTCTGAAACCGTATCCGTGAGCTTTTTGTACTCTGAAATGGGTCTATTTTGTACTTTGAATCAATCTTTTACCCATATGTGATTCTGTTTCGGTGGATTACTGTTTCACTGAATTATCCAGATCTAAACGTTGACAGATTTCATCGTATATGTTTTCTAAAAACACATTTGTTAATATCACCACCAAAGTCTTCAGAAAACTCTAAGTTTTGGGAAGCTGTCGACTGAGATCTTGGTGACAGATACCGGTTTTCCACAATTCCAGGTTTATTTTGCTTGAAAGCTCAAATTTTATCATATTGGCAACAAGCATCGCCAGTTGTTCTCCTTCCGGATTCTGTTCCTTTCATTCTGGAGCTTTCTTCCTAAAATACAGATCCTATCATGGTTCTTGGCAGCTGGACTCGATGACTTGGCCCCAGCCCCTAGGACTTTGACAGTTTCCAGCCTTGTTTCAAGCCTCTACGTTAAAAAAAAAAAAAAAAAAAAGTCTTTAAAACAACACAAATTTACTGGGCTGGCCAAAAAGTTCGTTTGGGATGTTCTGTAACACCTTACTTTTTGGCCAACCTAATATTATTCTTCAGTTCTGCAGGTCAGAAGTCCAGAATAGGTCTCACTGGGCTCAAGTCCAGGTGTTGGGAGGGTGTGTTCCTTTCTTAGGGCTCTCGAGAGACTCCAGTTCCTTGCCCTTGTGGGCTTCTGGAGGCTGCCCACCCCCTCCCCCATCCTTCAGGGACCCTGGGGATTACATATCAGACCCACCCTGGGAATGTCTCATCCAAGGTCAGCTGATGAGCACCTTCGTTCCTTCTGCAGCCTCCCTGTCATGTAACCTAACGTAATCACAAGTTCCCAGAGGTAGGATTTGGACATTTTGGGGTTGGGCGGCATTGTTCTGGCTGTCATATTCTAGCCTCTCTGTTTTTGTGTTCTGTTCCCGCTCTCTGCATGTAAGTTGGGTAACCTCATCCTCTGAAAAGCCCCAAATTGCAGAAACCTTTCCTGAGGTCTTCAGGTGGAGCCACCACTTTCTCTTCTGCCAAGACAGAGACTCGCGTGTGAGTCAGCTCCCCCTTTCTGCCCAGCTCCCAGGAAGGACCTGTGTGTCCGTCTCTCCCTGGGCTGTGAACCTGGGCCTTAACTCATCTTACCACTGCCCTTGTGGTACTTGGCCCATGACAGACAAATGCCAGTATGTTGTTTGTTTTGGACATTTGATCGTGGGCTGTGCTTTAGAGGCTACTGAATGAATATTCGGTTTCTAACAAGTGACGTTACAGTTATGTGGGTGAGTTTCATCCTTGGGAGTTACCAAAGTACTTAGAGGTCAAGTGTCATATTAGCTATCACAGCTCAGTATCAAATGGTTCATGAGAAAAGTGTATATTTACATAATGATAGAGCAGATGTGGCAAAATGTTAAATATTGGCAAATGTAGATGAAAAGTGTGTAAATATGTGCATTAACTTTCATGTAGGTTTGGACATTTTCAAAGTAGGAAGTGGCAAAGACTGAAACATTAGCACAGAATGAATATACAAAAGGTGTTCGTGGGGTGGAATGGTTGGCTCCAGCCGCTGGAAACCTGCTTTGCTGCGTTGAAGTGATGCAACTTGAGCTGTTGCTGAGCATCTTCACGTGAGCTTTTGGCTCAGCAATAATCCGCGTCTGGGTTCACATCAGGTGCAAAGTCATATGCAGGAAGCTTAGCTAAACCACTCCAGCTCCTGGGTGGGTGAGAGCATGAGCCTGTGTAGAGTAGGAACGCCGCAGCTGGGAAAACAGAGGACTTTATATGCCACTCGTCCAGGAGGTTCTTCCTGGACGCCCCTGTGAGGAGTGACCGTCACCGCATTCATTCCTTCTGGGACTGCAGGCCGCTCCCCCGGCACGTGGTGACAGAGCACGCCCCGCGTCAGAGCAGTGTGTGGCCCATCTGAAGTCACGGGCAGGTGGCTGCTCAGCGCCAGCGAGGGTGGTGTACTAGTGCTGTGTGCTCTGCATTGGTGCCCTGACACTGTGTGCAAGCGCCAGCAAGCACAGGAGAGTGGCCGATCACACAGACTGGAGCCCCGCGGTTCCTGGGGGACGCAGCTGAGGCTTTCTGCCCCTGCAGACCTCGGTTCCCAATGCCAGCGTCAGGAGAGCACTCACTCCCCTGGCTGGCCCCTCGCAGGGCCGCAGAGCGCGCACAGCTCCACCTCTGTGTCCTGGATGTCTGGAAGATGCTTTGCTGTCGTTCTTACTTAGATATGACCCCACATTTGTAGCGGTGGCGGGGTAGAACCTCTGGTTTGGAGGCCGTCTGGTGTGGTTTCCCATCTTCTCCCAGCGGTGCTCCCTGCATGCTGCTCTGTCCCCGTGGTGCGACCTCGTCTGCCTTCCTGATGCTGAGCTAAACAGAATCTTTCCTCCCTGCGATGGCCGCAGGCTTGGAGGTTCTGGGGTCAAAACAGATGGAGTCTAATAATGTCTCTTCCTTGCCTCCCAGGAGCCTGCAGCCCCATCTCGTCTCTCCTGAGACGTCTTCGCTCCAGGACCCAGGGATCCTCGGGTGACAAGGTGACAGTCCTCACGCCATAGTCCAGGTACGGTCTGCCTGTCAGCACCCCGGCAGGGGAGTCTGCTCTGTTTTGCTGGAATGTTACTCATTTAGGGCTTTCGCTGGCCGCTGGCTTTTTAAGTTAACTGATAACTAAGCCCTAAGTTGTCTTTTTTAAATTTTTAATTAATTAATTTATTTATTCATTTTTGACAGTGTTGGGTCTTCGTTTCTGTGCAAGGGCTTTCTCTAGTTGTGGCGAGCGGGGCCACTCTTTATCGCGGTGCGCGGGCCTCTCACTATCTCGGCCTCTCTTGTTGCGGAGCACAGGCTCCAGACACACAGGCTCGGTAGCTGTGCCTCACAGGCCCAGTTGCTCTGCGGCATGTGGGATCTTCCCGGACCAGGGCTGGAACCCGTGTCCCCTTCATTGGCAGGCAGATTCTCAACCACTGCGCCACCAGGGAAGCCCCCCTAAGTTGTCTTTTTAATGTCTCACTGCTGCGCCCATCCAGCTCTTCCGTCCCATCGACTCACCAGGAAAGGTTTGTCTTTTCACTCTAATGGGTTCTTGAATTCTGACCTGCGCTTCTGCTTCGTACAGACCTATTAACGTCCTGCGACAGCAAGGCCTTCGGTGCAGGGCTCCGTGGGGAGAGGATGTCCCCTCACTCCGGGCGCCGCCTGGTCTGCAGCCCTTGGAGGGACTGTGCCCCGTGGGCGGCCACAGAGCCTCGGCCGTGATGCATCCGCTCCGTGTCTGCCTTTGACTCTGGGAGACTTTGTGGTTTCTCAAGGTCAAGGGCCAGTTCCACTTTCCATTCTGCTCCCAAGCTTCCTGTCTTGCTCCTGTGCCTCTCACTCCTCTGCTTGTCACTCTTGTCCTTAAGAATTCTCCCGTAGCTCGTTGTTGGGTTTGGGGGCTATAATGACCTGCTGTAGGTTGGTGTATTTCGGGCTGGTCCTCGGAGCCCTGGAGTCCTGGGCAGGGGCAGGGCACAGAAGCAGGCCTGGAGGGTGGGGAAGGTCAAGGCCAGCAGGGGGGCTGCTCACCCCTTGTCCGTTTAAATAAGAGCGGGTCCACCTTCACCTGATGCTTATATTTGGGTTTAGCATAGGGTGTAGTTTGGGGAAAAAGGATTCTACTATAAAAATGCTGGAAAGCTGTTGCTCTGCGTATTTTTTGATTAAGAAAACAGGTTCTCTGAGTATGGAGACAGTCATTTTTGTCACTGTTTCATTTATCACAAGGTGTTTTCAGCTGTGTGTGTGTGTGTGTGTGTGTGTGTGTGTGTGTGTGTGTGTGTGTGTAAAAGAACTGCACCTGACTCCCCTGCCCCCCACGCCGCCCTGCAATCTGCCAGTCGTTTGGGGCCGTTCATGTTGTTACTTCCGAGTATGGAGCCGTATTAAGAACGCACACATGATCAGGATCTGCGGCCCTCTGAGTCCTTCATCAGGCGGCTTGGTGGACGTGTAGCTGTGACCTTTGCCACGTGGAGGCTCCTCTCAGGGACGGGTGGGGCTCCCCAGCTCCTCCTTCCCGAGAGGTCCATGCTCTGAGTGAGCACCTTGTTTATGGGGCTGTTGCAGCTTGTAAATGTCAGAAGCAAAGGTTCCCGGGCGCACTTCCCCAAAGAGTCAGGTTAGATCCGTGCAGCAGGGAAGTGGGAGCGCGTCGCATCGTGAGCCTTGAGTGGCCTGGTCTCTCCTCCTCCTTTTCAGCACCTATTTAGTAGAAGTGCTTAAGTGAGAGTTGTTCCCGCTGCATCCCCTCCTCTCTGCTGCTCAGCCTCTCCTAGAGCCCCTTCCTCTGTTACCTGGTACCCAGGCTGCGGGGAGCGCTCACATTTGAGTGAAGAGCCTCAGGTTGCTGGCTTCTCGGGTCGGCAGGGCCGTGATGAGGTGTCTGGGGAAGCCCTGGATGGTTCCTGGTGCTCGGGCAGGTCCTGAACCGTGTCTAAATCAGGGGACTTCACAGCCCCCCGGCCACACCGTGACGGCGCCCTTCCTGAGTGAAGAGGCCAGGTGGCAGGTGGTGGCGGAGGTGACGTGTCTCTGGAGGGCTCGGGTCTCTGCCGCCTGTTTGTGCTCTTTGGTTCGTTGTATTGTCTCCTGCCAGGAGAGCAGGGAACTTTGTTCTTTCTCTACAGCACATGGAAGGGAGAGGCACACAGTAGGTGTCCGTCAGCACAGGGAAGGGAGAGGCACACAGTAGGTGTCCGTCAGATAAATGCTTGTTGGATGGATGGATGGCTAATTTGGTCTTTTTTCTAGGCTGCGAGCACGCTGAGAGCAGGGACAGCATATTGCTTATCTTTGTAGCTCCTGCAAGTCCTAAAAGAGGGGCACAGGGTAGAAACACCATTTTTTAAAAGCGAAATAATAGCCATTTAATGTACGCCATTCTTCCAGAAAGAGGAAATTCCTTTCAAATCATTCTGCCTTAACCAAGAAAAAATAGTTTCAGGTGAATTAAAGGTTAACTCCATCATGGAAGCAGAGAAAGTTAAAGAAACGTTGGGCTCTGGTTTTTGGGTCCCTGAAGGTTTAAAGAGAAAGTGAATGCAGACTCACTTATTATCTCATGGCTGTCTGGACCATGGATTAGTCAGCTGTCACTGCACACACACCGCAGACTTAGGGGCCTAAGACATCTGTCTTCTCATGGTTTATCTGGTCGGGAGTCAGAGCATGTCTTAGCTAGCGAGGTGCCTGGAGCACTGTGAAGCTGCAGTCAAGCTGGGGACTAGGACCTGGTTCTCAGCTGAAGGCTCATCTGGGGGGTGGGATCTGTGTCCAGGCTTCCTTGGGTTGTTGGCCAAATCCATGTCCTCATGGTTTTGGGACCTAGGGCCCCAGTCTCTCGCTGGCTGACTTGGAGGCCACATTGACTGCCACTTGGGTTTTCCCAATGTGGCCACTCACTTCCTCAAGCTGGTAAGACAGAGCCTTAAATAGTGTCACATAATTGTGGGGTGACATCCCTGCCCTTTGCCAGGTTCTGCTGGGAGAGGCAAGCCCCAGCTCCCGCCCCACTCCCACTCCCACTCCCACCAGGGGGAGTGGGTCACGGGCCACCTTAGACACTGTCCACCGCAGATCACCTTTCCTTGCCCCTGAGAGGAGGGATTAAAAGTGCTCCCATCTGATATTCATTTTTGTGAAAAATTGTTTTGCTCCTTTCTTTTTTCCACAGTGACCCGTGACTTTACCTCTATTAAAGGATCACAACTCTACAGGACCCATGTATTCTCCCAACCCACATCGGTGTCCTCGTGCCCTCACTGACCCCGCTGGGCAGTGGGCAGCTCCAGAGAGCTCGGATGCACTTCAGGAACGTTTCGGGTTAAACTGCTTTTTGTGAGCTGCTTTAGAACCCAGTGGTGGCTTTGTCCCATTTTTGTATAGGAAAATGTGACCCTCACATGAGTCTCAGGTGACTGATGCGGCTGTGAATTTCTAGAAAGAAGGCAGACGCCCTCTTTGTGGGTCTTTCTGTGCAGTGGGGCATGTAGAGAGCATTATTTGGGGCATAAGTTTCAACTTCTATTTTCAGCCTTTAAGAATTCCTTAAAAACGATAGGAAAAGTCTATGCTGTGTTTCCTCATTCTCTGATGATGTGGGTTCTAACTGTCATTAAGTGGGGACCAGAGAAGGGAGAATTTCAGTTAACTGCAGTCTGGATATTGAACGTTGGCTTATGGCGAGGCCCTGGGGTCACATTCAGGTGACATTCTGGAGGGACAGCCTGTCCTTAAGGTTATTGCACTGGAGCGTCTATTACAGCAGAGCTGGGGGCTCTGCCTGTGACATATGGTGTACACACGGTCCCTCCGACGTGCAGGAAAACAGCCCCTTCACACTCAGCACCACCGGCCAGCTCTGGTCTCGTGTCCAGCGCTCTGGGCTACTTTCTCCATCTCGGGCTCAGCCTTATCCTCTGGTCCACTGTCTCCTGGCCTTTGATCACTCGGTCCTGCATTCCGGTATTCCCAGGCCCTCGTGCAACTGGCCGTTTGCTTCCGATGCTTCACAGTGACTTCGGCTAAACGGCATCACGTTCTCTGTAACGGAGGCGTTCTGTTACCACCCACTGGACATGTCCTCTAAGTGTGTGACGTGAGAGCAAACCTTGTGGCAGGAAAACAGGTGAGGTGGCGAGCCACGAGGGAGGCCGTGGGGTTTCTTTCAAATTGTAAATGCTTTTCGTGGTGTTTCTTTCAAATTGTAAATGCTTTTCTCTTGGGGGTGAGTGTCTGAAGTTTTGGCCACCAGTGAAAGTAGGTTGCCAGTACGCCAGCAAGACCCATCATAAAACATGCATTTCCTACTACGGGTTATTCCTGCAGGGCGCACCCCACCCCGCACAGATAATCCCCATGGTAACCAGGGCGTGGGTGCTGGGAATAGCTCAGGGTTCTGAGGGGAGAAAACAGGGACCGGGAACAAATGCTGGTACATATGAAAGAATATAGCATTTGCTTGCGCAAAGGGACTTCATTAGTTGGATTAAAATATCCTGCTCAGGGCTTCCCTGGTGGCGCAGTGCTTGAGAGTCCGCCTGCCGATGCAGGAGACGCGGGTTCGTGCCCCGTTTCGGGAAGATCCCACGTGCCGCGGAGCGGCTGGGCCCGTGAGCCATGGCCGCTGAGCCTGCGCGCCCGGAGCCTGTGCTCCGCAAATGGGAGAGGCCACAACAGTGAGAGGCCCGCATAACGCAAGGAAAAAAAAAAAAAAAAAAAATATCCTGCTCAAAGGCGAACATATCAATTTGCTACCCAAGTAAAGAAGGCCGTTACCCTCTAGTCTGTCCTGCACGAGACCTGATTAATCCTCCCGGTGTTATGTTGTTGATACCCTTCCTCTGCACGAAACTTTCACATCTCGAGTGTGAATCCCTCAGCTGCCCACCCGTGACTTTCCTAGGCGCACGGCCCTGGCTGGTCCAGCTCCCCACACCCTGGCCCAGCCTCACCTGTGCAGTCTGGCCAGGGTCACCTGCGGCGCAGTGGGCCTGAGCTTCGTCTCCCAGGCAGGTCAGG